GATATCACATCAAGGTGACCGTGCTGTTAAGAGACTTATTTCTCACATAGCAGGTCATGTTTAGGGTATGCTAACTAAAGAGTCATAGAACATTTGCACATTATTTAAACCTAGGGTTTTTATGAAGCATTTCAAAGAGACAGACAGGAATTCTAGGATAGGCCGGCATAAGAATGTATTAAAATACATTAATTTTTTCCAGTGAATGTGCATTCTTCAGCCATAACACTATGACCAATACCTGTTTCTGCTAACTAAAGAGAATCTACCTGCTGCATGGTGGTGCGGTCAGTAGTGGCGCCCTCTAACAATGGACGAATTGAGCTAAGGTTGTCTGTTACAGCTTTGATTCTTATGTAAATACTTATTTTTTTCCCTGTAATTTTTACATTATGCAACTATCATTCTCCTGCAAAACTGGTTCATGTTTTGAATTTCAAAACGCTCAAGATCCATAGGCATGTTTTTTTTTTATGGTTTTTGTACTATCACTTCAGTAGTGTTTGCAAGAAAAAGATAATTATGAATGTCTGTTTTTGTGTGTGCTGTGTAAAAGGCTTACCTGTGAAAGGGTGACCCTCTTTTATATAGTCAAATGCATTATCACACTCCTCTCACCCTGAGCAAAATGTTCCTATGTAGTCTAAAAGATTTGGAGAAATATGGAATTTCCTTGTAGTGTTAAAAAAAAAAATAAAAATATTGAAATAAATTTGTCACTTCTTTTTAAATGTATTTTTAATTACAAGCCTTAAAAAAAGCAGATCGAGTCCACTTACAGGTGATCTAATCATTCTCAGTGTCACATTTTGGTTAATACTTATTTTTAAAGTCCTGAAATTTGTTTACTAAAAATGACCCTCACATGATCTTCTGAATTTTACGTGGAAAATGCTCACAATATATGAAGCCACAGCAGGAAAACTACAGTGTATTTATTGGGAATTTAAAGCAATACACAAACATAAAGCAATGTATATGTATGAATTGCATGGGAGAAATTGATATGAAGCTAAGGCGGAAATTCAACTGAAGAAACTCTGATTACTTCCATTCAATCTGAGGCTGATCCGCCTCCGATGCAGCCAACCCACTTCAAGCCACATTTCCTCGATGCCCAATCATCTTCCAGCACTCTACTTAAAAGCCTCTCCAAATCATCTCTAGGCCTGCTCTTTAACAAGCGCAAGATCCGTTGCTCCTATGTCGGACTTGGATTCAGACAACCCACCTCCGTCCCCTTCTCCACCATTGTAGTAAGCTCATCCGACTCCTCCTCGATGCTCCAAAACCTCACCTTCAGTGTGTAGTCCCTCCAGACTTTCATGGAGTTCCCTGTCACTATAAACGGTCCGGCAGAAGACCGCCACGTTGAGCCTGGTTCTGCCAGAGATTTCTTCCCAAAGGGGAGTTTTTTCTCTCCACAGTCGCTTCATGCTTGCTCTTCATGGACAGTTTATGCAAACTTTGTTCATTCAGTGACATCTAACTCAAGCATCACCCTGTATACCAGCCTCTATGGATTAACCAAACTTCATCTATCTAAACTCCACCACCAGTTTCAGGCCCGGGGGGAATATCCTTATTCTCATACATCAGTTTATCTGCATTAAAGTATAAATCAGCGTTTATGTTTCCTGCCGAGGCCTGAGCGCCAAAGTTCAAACTATTGTATCAATAAACTCTTCTAATTGCATCTTTCTCTCTCTGTGAGTTTTTCAGATTGAAATGGTTTTACACTCTAAGCAAAAACTCAGAGGGTTGAGGCATCAACCCCAACAACCAGATGAGAAACAGTTTGTGGAACCAGCTAATTCTAAAATTACAGCTGCAACTCAATTGGATTATTTCTGGATCAGCATTGGGCATCTAGAGTTAAATTAAAGTATTTTTTTATTGACTCAAGTTCTGGACCTTGAGAAAATTCATATACAATACCTTTTTATCTAAAGCTGCCATTTTTTGACCCCACTAGATTTTCTTCTGAGATTAGCCCATCCTTACATCAACTCTAACCGGCTTTCCTCTGTCTTTGCAAAAACAATTCCCACAGCATGATATCACTACTACTTTGTGTCACCCTGCAGATAGTGTGTTCAAGCTGGTGATGTATTCCCCATGGAATGTTTTCCAAGTTTGTCGCATCTGACCAACTTGGGTCTTACGGTTAAATCCTTGCACTAATTTCTTTTAATTGGTTTCAAGTAAATAGGTTGGATACAGACAGCCGCCAAATTTCACATCTTTGTTATTTATCAGAAGGAGAATGACAGCCATGATTTTCTTACTGCATCACAACCAGGAAATATTTCATGTTGGTGAAAGACATCCTCTCCTTGGGCTGCCACCTTATCGTGGTGGAGAGGTTTGAGTGTCCCAATGATCCTGGGAGCTATGCTGTCTGGGGCTTTATGCCCCTGGTAGGGTCACCCAAGGCAGACAGGTCCTAGGTGAGGAACCAGACAAAGCGCAGCCCGAAGACCCCTATGATGAACACAATATTTGGATCCAGCGTTCCCTCGCCCGGACGCGGGTCACCGGGGCCCCACTCTGGAGCCAGGCCTGGAGGGGGGGCACGATGGCGAGAGCCTGGTGGCCGGGCTTTTACCCATGGGGCCCGGCCGGGCTCAGCCCGAAGAGGAAACATGGGTCCCCCCTTACATGGGCCCACCACCCGTGAGAGGGGCCATAGGGGTCGGGTGCAATGTGTGTTGGGTGGCGGCCGGGGGAGGGGACCCTGGCGGTCCGATCCTCGGCTGCAGAAGCTGGCTCTTGGGACGTGGAATGTCACCTCGCTGGTGGGGAAAGAGCCGGAGCTAGTGTGTGAGGCTGAGAGGTTCCGGCTAGAAATAGTCGGTCTCACCTCAACACATGGTTCTGGTTCTGGAACCAGTCTCCTTGAGAGGGGCTGGACATACTTCCACTCTGGAGTTGCCCACGGTGAGAGGTGCCGGGCAGGAGTGGGCATACTTGTTGCCCCCCATCTTGGTGCCTGTACGTTGGGGTTTACCCCGGTGAACGAGAGGGTAGCCTCCCTCCGCCTACGGGTGGGGGGACGGGTTCTGACTGTTGTCTGTGCTTACGGGCCGAACAGCAGTTCAGATTACCCACCCTTATTGGAGTCCTTAGAGGGGGTACTGGAGGGTGCCCCTCCTGGGGATTCCCTTGTTCTGCTGGGAGACTTCAACGCTCACGTGGGCAATGACAGTGAGACCTGGAGGGGCGTGGTTGGGAGGAATGGCCGCCCTGATCTGAACTCGAGTGGTGTTCGGTCTTTGGACTTCTGTGCTCGTCATGGATTGTCCATAACGAACACCATGTTCAAGCATAAGGGTGTCCATATGTGCACATGGCACCAGGACACCCTAGGCCGCAGTTCGATGATCGACTTTGTCATCGTTTCATCAGACTTGCGGCCGTATGTCTTGGACACTCGGGTGAAGAAAGGTGCTGAGCTTTCCACTGACCACTACCTGGTGGTGAGTTGGCTCCGGTGGTGACGGAGGATGCCGGTCAGACCTGGCAGGCCCAAACGTGTTGTGAGGGTCTGCTGGGAACGTCTGGCGGAGTCCCCTGTTAGGCGGAGCTTTAACTCCCATCTCCGGCAGAACTTCGAACACATCCCGGGGGAGGTGGGGGACATTGAGTCCGAGTGGACCATGTTCCGTTCCTCCATTGTCGAGGCAGCTTATCTGAGCTGCGGCCGCAAGGTTGTCGGTGCCTGTCGTGGCGGCAACCCTCGAACCCGTTTGTGGACACCTCCGGTGAGGGATGCTGTCAGGTTGAAGAAGGAGGCCTATCAGGCCTTTTTGGCCTGTGGGACTCCGGAATCAGCTGATGGGTACCGGCGGGCAAAGCGGCATGCAGCTCGGATGGTTGCTGAGGCAAAAACTCGGGTGTGGGAGGAGTTTGGAGAGGCCATGGAGAAAGACTTCCGTACGGCTCCGAAGCGATTCTGGTCTGCCATCCGGCGTCTCGGGAGGGGGAAGCAGTGCAGCACCAACACTGTTTATAGTGGGGATGGTGTGCTGCTGACCTCGACTCGGGACGTTGTGGGTCGGTGGGCGGAATACTTCGAAGACCTCCTCAATCCCACCAACATGTCTTCCATTGAGGAAGCTGGGCCTGGGGACTCTGGACTGGGCTCTCCAATCTCTGTGGGCGAGGTCGCCGAGGTGGTTAAAAAGCTCCTCGGTGGCAGGGCCCCGGGGGTGGATGAGATCCGCCCGGAGTTCCTCAAGGTCCTGGATGTTGTAGGGTTGTGTTGGCTGACACGACTCTTCAACGTTGCATGGACATCGGGGGCAGTCCCCCTGGATTGGCAGACTGGGGTGGTGGTCCCCCTGTTCAAAAAGGGGGACCGGAGGGTGTGCTCCAATTACAGGGGAGTCACACTCTTAAGCCTCCCCGGCAAGGTCTATTCGGGGGTGCTGGAGAGGAGGGTCCGTCGGATAGTCGAACCTCGGATTCAGGAAGAGCAGTGTGGTTTCCGTCCTGGTCGTGGAACGCTGGACCAGCTCTACACCCTCAGCAGGGTCCTGGAGGGTGCATGGGAGTTCGCCCAACCAGTCTACATGTGCTTTGTGGACTTGGAGAAGGCGTTCGACCGTGTCCCCCGGGGGGCCCTGTGGGGGGTTAAATCTTGATAAACTACAGTGAAGACTTTGCAGTTGTAAGAATACTTAAGCAACTTGCAGAGGTTAAGTCAGTTTACATGGCGCTATTTTATATTAGTATCAGTAAAAAAATAAATAAAATTAAAATAGTCGAGGGATTGGTCGTCCCCCGTTTTTTTCTTTGTAAATGTCATATCTTCATTAACGAAACACATTTAAATAACAATCACTAAGGATTCAAACACATCTTCTGTGTCATAAACATATTCTAAATATTTTTAGATATTCATTAAAAATACTAAAAGCTGTTAAAAGTGGAACATTTTAACATGTAAAATCAAAAACTAGAGATGATTGGAAAGAAAAGATAAACACAAGCCTGTGTTTTTTTTTAAATAAAATCATATTTATTTTACAAATTTTCACAATTACAGAATAATGGTGAAGCCTTATACAAATAAACAGCTACAAAGAAGTGTGTGTAGCCTGACACACTTGACTCTATCACGCCCACACTCACACACCATCATGTTACAGCAGTGGACACAAAAACACAGCCTCTCGTACAAGCAGCACACGCACACACACGCAGGCACACACTTGCTCCTGTCAAACTGCCACAAAGCATTTATCTCCTCCAGGTGTAAATCAGATCAGATTTTATCCGTCTTTCTCATTTCTCACATTCACCAAGCTTCAGTGACTCGATGTCTTCACTCAGGCAATCAAACCAAACAGTGGTGAAGTGTGAAATGTACACGTGCGGTGCTGGTGGCTTCTGTTTCTGTCAAAGCTCCAGTGAAATTTTACAGAGAGGGAGCTCTAATATTATAGTGACCCCTAATAAAAGGAGCTGCTCTTAGACCCTGGATATGCCTTTTTAAGGGACACGACATGGCTTAGATTGTTCATACAAAATCATTTTGATTGGATTTGGACTGTTGTTTTATAGCACTTTTGCTTAAATATTAAATAAACTTTACATCTAAAAAAAAAAAGCAAACAGTGGGATCTCATTTAGCCACCGTAAGCTGCTAGGTAGTTTGGTTGTTTATATAGAGAGGAAGTGATACAGATTTACAAATAACTTAAAAAGAGAATTATAACCTTTGATTGTCTTCACGCAATTCTTTGTGAGGAAAATTTCCTTGAGTGTTCTGTTTTGAAGAAAAACTTTTCTTTTGCTTACTTTTGATGAGGTGGAATGGGATGGAATCGTGGAGAGAAAAAGGGCTATGAACATTGAAGTGAGGATGAGTGAAAAGCAAAGGGAAAAGTATTCTTCCAAGTCCTTCTTAGAACTTTTCCAAGCTTCAGTTTGGCCTGGATTCCAGCTCCCGTTGTGCATCTTTCTTCCGCTATTTAGTGGGAGGACGTTCTGTTACCGTGCTGTATTGAGTTTACAAGAATATACAGTTCAGAGTGTTGCATTTAGCATATTCTCTTTTTCGATTTGGTTTAAAAAGTGCCCACATTAAATAAAAAACCGTTGCAGAACCAAATGCAACAAGCAGAAGGAGGTGAAAATTGGAACAGATTGTGCTGCGGTCGGATCCTCAGACCTCCACCTGGCCTTGCATCAGGTGGGACCTGAGCTGCTGGGCTGCGCTGACGATCTTCCTCTGATGTCCCAATAGGTTCACACCAAGGTTCTGGACATCTCTGACAGAAAGCAGGAGAGAGACAGAAGGCAGTGCAGTTAATAGCATGCAACAAACAGTGCGGAAGGATCAGGGGAGACATTTAAAAAAAAAAAAATTTTTAATACAGATTCTATAAGTTCAAAGTTTGGAAAGGCAATTCCGGATGGCCTTTAAACCACTTTGTTGGTTATGCTATTATTCTGTTGGAATACATACTGCTGTCCCAGTAAGAACTGTCTGCCTTTCCTTGATAATTGGGAAGACTTCTATCATTTAATTGTACTTTTTATGCACCACTAACAGTTATCATCCTGCAACCCCAACCATGTTTCATAGTTTGGGAAGTCCTGTTAGGTTCCAAGGCCCATGTCATTTTAAAAGTAGGAGAATGGGAAGTTGGTCTAACCGTAACTCTTTAAAGTGAAGAGTATCAAATAACGTTACTACATCATGTTCTAATAAACCATATGAGTTTTGTGTCATTTGGAGCTGTTCTGAAGATATTCGGTTAGGTTATTTACAAGTAACATCTTCCTTTGGGCAAACGACTTGAAGGCACAAACTAAACTGTTCATAATTTATTATTTATGGTACGCCAGCATTCATAATATATAGGTGAATCACTGTCCCCCAGACATCCGCGGTTATATTTTTAATATTTATATCTTTTAAAAATAAAGCAGAGTGTGTATGATGATGTATCAGACACATGTTAACAGAACATTTTTCAAAGATTATACATAAATGCCTAGTGTATCAATTTTATGCAAATAAATTATCTAAATTAACTTATACATTTTGTTTTTAATGAAAGTTCAATGACAACTCTAATTTAAAATTATTTCATAGTCCAGGTTTTAAAGTGTTACAGACTTGGAGCTTATTAGCAAAGCTGAATGGAAAGAAACCCAGTGGAAACATCCAAAAAGCTGTTCAGCAGTAATAAGAAGCGCTTGTTTACTGTAAAAAGAATAAAGCTTTTTCTGTTGATTGTTAGTGTTTAATTTTTCTCTGAGGTGCCATTTTTTTTTAGCATATTACAAAGAAATTATCCTTAAAAAATTATATTATTTGATCAAAATATTTAGGGATGCTGTATTATTTCGAATGCAATGTTTTTAAGTTAAACAAAAATTGTTTTAAAATTAAATCGGATAGAGATACACTATATTGCCAAAAGGATTTGCTCACCTGCCTTGACTCACATATGAGCTTAAGTGACATCCCGTTCCTAATCCATAGGGTTCAATATGACATCGGTCCACCCTTTGCAGCTAGAACAGCTTCAACTCTTCTGGGAAGGCTGTCCACAAGGTTTAGGAGTGTGTTTATGGGAATTTTTGACCATTCTTCCAGAAGCGCATTTGTGAGGTCGCACACTGATGTTGGACGAGAAGGCCTGGCTCTCAGTCTCCGCTCTAATTCATCCCAAAGGTGTTCTATCGGGTTGAGGTCAGGACTCTGTGCAGGCCAGTCAAGTTCATCCACACCAGACTCTGTCATCCATGTCTTTATGGACCTTGCTTTGTGCACTGGTGCACAGTCATGTTGGAAGAGGAAGGGGCCAGCTCCAAACTGTTCCCACAAAGTTGGGAGCATGGAATTGTCCAAAATGTCTTGGTATGCTGAAGCATTCAGAGTTCCTTTCACTGGAACTAAGGGGCCAAGCCCAGCTCCTGAAAAACAACCCCACACCATAATCCCCCCTCCACCAAACTTTACACTTGGCACAATGCAGTCAGACAAGTACCGTTCTCCTGGCAACCGCCAAACCCAGACCCGTCCATCAGATTGCCAGATGGAGAAGCGCGATTCGTCACTCCAGAGAACGCGTCTCCACTGCTCTAGAGTCCAGTGGCGGCGTGCTTTACACCACCGCATCCGACGCTTTGCATTGCACTTGGTGATGTATGGCTTGGATGCAGCTGCTCGCCCATGGAAACCCATTCCATGAAGCTCTCTGCGCACTGTTCTTGAGCTACATGAAGTTTGGAGGTCTGTAGTGATTGACTCTGCAGAAAGTTGGCGACCTCTTCGCACTATGCGCGTCAGCATCCGCTGACCCCGCTCCGTCAGTTTACGTGGCCTACCACTTCGTGGCTGAGTTGCTGTCGTTCCCAAACACTTCCATTTTCTTATAATACAGCTGACAGTTGACTGTGGAATATTTAGGAGCGAGGAAATTTCACGACTGGATTTGTTGCACAGGTGGCATCCTATCACAGTTCCACGCTGGAATTCACTGAGCTCCTGAGAGCGACCCATTCTTTCACAAATGTTTGTAAAAACAGTCTGCATGCCTAGGTGCTTGGATTTATACACCTGTGGCCATGAAAGTGATTGGAACACCTGATTCCAATAATTTGGATGGGTGAGCAAATACTTTTGGCAATATAGTGTATATATATTCCATGGCTGAATATGCCTGCATTTATTATATAATATTTGATCTCCTTTGAATTGGAGAAAATCCATGAAAAAATCAGTTGTCCTTCAGATTCTTTACTTTTATTTATTTTATGAATTGAAAAGAATTTGTTGAAATTCCTTACCAAAAAAAAAACGATTGATAAATACTTTTAAAACTAAAACGGTATAAATAATTCCTTTACGTACTCCATAGTGAGCATGCTGACTCTGTCTAATGTGTCTATGTTTGCTCGATCAAACTCCTCCTGATATCTCTCCATCCTCAGCGCTTTCAGCCAATCCCCGACAGTTGCCACTGCCGTTAAGTCTGTGGGGGTTGGGCTGAGCAATGGTTGCGAGCAGCTCCTGTAAATGTCAAAAACAAGTAAATGAGATGTTTTATCACTGATGCACATTGCCTATCAGCAGAGAGCTGCCATCTGTTTGGAAGCTGCTGTCTCACCGAGTTGGCTCGGCCTTGAGGGAGGCAGGGTGTCTGATCAGCCTATCCAAAGAGGAGAGGAGCTGGTCGAAGCCTGGCCGGTCCCCCCGTTCAGCCTGCCAGCACTGAAGCATCAGGGAGTGGAGAGCAGGGGGACAGTTGTGAGGAGGAGGAAGCCGATACTGATCCGCTACTGCCTTCATCACCTGCAGACACAGGCACAGAGAGACATCGGCTGTTTATGCAGAAACATTAAAGGAATAGTACACCCAAAACATGATTAGCCTTCGGAAGAGCATGAGTTCTTTGCCGAGCTGAATGCGCTGGTTTGGTCTGCCGGCTTCCGTAGAATCGTGAGCGCGCATGGGGGCGCTATTAGGAAATCCTATACACTACTGTTTATGCTCTAAAAACATTCTAAATGACTTCGTTTCGAGTAAATTCTGGATGCTACCCACTCAGGACACTTGGATTACATTGGACGAGCAGTATGGAGGAATATTGACACGTTTTTGTGGACTTTTGTGGACCTTTCTGTCTCGGGCGCCATAGACCTCCATTATTTGAATGTCAGCAGACAGCAAGAAGCCTCCCAGATCTCCAGATGCATTTGAGATATCAAAAAAGTACTCCAGAGTTTTGTTCAGCATGGGGGTGAGTAGAAAATGAAGGCTAATCATGTTTTGGGTGTACTATTCCTTTAAGACGATTCCCAGAAAAAGTCCTTGTATGCTTGTAGCAGAAACAAAGGAAACATTATGGAGAGTTCTTTCTATATGATAATAAAAGGGGGGAAGGGGAGAGAAGTTAATCTGTATTTATTTATATATTAATTTATTACAAATTTATAATATTTATATTTATTTACCAAATATTCCAAAATATTTATTTACAAATATTTGGGAATGTATTTTAATAAGTATTCTTTTTATATTTCTTAAAGAGAAATAGAGAACAGAGAGCAGCTACTGTACAGAAGCATGTTTTAGACTAAGGTAGTTTGAAAATGCAGCTAAAATGAGGCTCTGTAGGAGAGATTTTCTGATTTGACACAGTTTATCCATGTATGAACCATTATTGGTGTCTTAGAAACTGCAGTGTGGTCTTAATCTCTGTGACAGGGGCCTTATGCTAAACCTTTTTTGGTAACCACTTTCTATTTCTATTTGGCTTCCTGCATTGTTCAACATTATACTGTAGTTATAGTCTTAGAATCATATTGAATCACAGTTTATCATATCTATTTCCAGCAATGTATTCCCCAAAGTAGGGTTCCAGTATTTAACAATTCTATGCTTAATGGTTCTAGCTCTATTTTGGACATGTAACAAAGTCTTCTTGCGCAACTCAGTGAGTCCTGGACTCCTTCAAGTAACTAAAGTAAAACAACATGCTGTAAACTAGGATGTAAACAAATAATCAAGTTATGATTCATTTTTGTTTAATGGTTTATTAAATAAAATTAGTTTCATCCAAAGAATTGATAACACTAAAATATTTATTTCAGTGTTTTTGATACCACCATCCACTAGAGGGCGCCACGTTTTAACTCTGGTAATTGAAGTAAAGACCTGACCACACCTGCCAAAAAAAATCAGACACCTGCCAAAAAAAATCTGATTTTTTTTGGCAGGGTAAGCATGAGTTTTGTTTACTTCTGTCTCTGTGCCACAAAAATTAAAACAATTTCTGACATTTGACTTGGACAGATCATTAAAAGTTACAAAAAACAAAATAAAAAACCCCAAATATTTGTTTCTAAGATTTTGAGAAAATTTCAGGTTTTTAATTAATTGTTAGTCTGTTGATAAGATCATTCAACTTTAATTAATTAAATGTAACTTCAATTTGCGCACAGGAAAACATAAAATGAATAGTGCTGTTAGAATTTTTTTGCTAAATGATGAAAGGGAAATGCCTGTTGTGAATCTAGGGATATATTGAATTTTTTAATTTTAAGAGGGGAGTTATGACTTTTTTTGGTAAGTTCTTTGGGTTAAAGTTCCATCCTCACCTCTTGATTGCTCATATCCCAGTATGGGCGCTCTCCATAGGACATCACTTCCCACATTAGTATGCCAAAGCTCCAGACATCACTGGCTGTGCTGAACTTTCGATGCTGGAAAGCTTCTGGTGCGGTCCACCTCACTGGAATCTTACTGCCCTGATAGCGGACAAAGATGTAAATAGTCAGAATAGCAATCAGTGGTTGAAGAAACCGAATGAAATGAGAACCAAGGTCCAAGTGCGCACCAGAGAGGCAGTGTATGTGGGTACATTGTGGTCCACACCCCTCATGAGTCTGGAGAGGCCAAAGTCGGATACTTTGCAAACTAGGTTGGAATTGACCAACACATTTCTGGCAGCCAGGTCTCTGTGAACAAAGTTTCTCTCAGACAGATATCGCATTCCTGCGCCAACTCCCCTGAGCATCCCAACAAGTTGAAGGACACTGAACTGACCTTCGTTCTCCTGCAGAGGAAGCAGAATGGAAAGTTTGAGTTCTAATATCGAGTTTGACGGTGTAGACACAAAGCACTCTAGAGTGGGATATATTGTCACCCTAAGGAAAGCATCCAGGGGCCCATTCTCCATGAACTCAGTGATGATTCTTTCTGGAGGAGTTCGCGTGACAACACCCTCCAACTTCAGCACATTTGGATGATCAAATTGCCCAAGGACCCCTGCTTCACTGAGAAACATTCCCCTTTCTCTGTCAGATGCCCCCCATCGAATAGTCTTCACAGCCACCAGCACTTCCCTGCGGCCCACAGGACGGTAACGTCCACGAGACACTTCTCCAAACTGGGCTGAGTAGAGACAAAGTAAAACCTTTTACAGCTGACACAGAACTGGAGAGCATGTATTTAGGAGGATATCAAACCTACCTGCACCAATTACCTCCTCAATCTTAATATGAGAAGGATCTATTTCACGGGCAAATTCTTTAACTGCCTCACTGGGGTCTTCATATGTAGAAGGATCCACATAATATTTAACCCCACCTACAATTACAAATCAAAACCTTAGAAAAGAAATCAAAATGTCAGAAATTCATTGACACGAATTTCATCACAGATGTATTGTCATCACAATGTGGGGATGATCCTTATTCTTTGGATCTACTCTTTACATTGATAAGAACAAATCAGATTAATTTAGTAAAATGCCATGGGCTCACTTTGAAATAAACCATGCTGTTTTAATTTCGGGTCCTTTTTGTCTTTGTATCATTCTGTAGTAAAGTTTTGGTTGTTTGTATGTGTTTTTGGTTTCTATTTGCTCTATCTGCACCTATGTGTATGGCTTGTGGTTGATTCCGTAGTTGATATTTACTACCAGGAGAAGGTCACTCAACGGTCACAGAAGGATGGATTAGGGGTCAAAATCTACTGCTCGGGCAACACAACTAAAATATAACCTAAATCCAGAATGTGCCGAAAAACATGCACATATGAATAAATCACAGAAACAATAAAAAAAAACGCATTATGTTCTTTAAAATATTTAGTACCGGTAAATTGGTAAAAAATTGTTTGTTAATTGTTCAAATCTGAAGTTTATATTTAAATTACAGTTGGAAACAAATTGAAGGGCGCAGATTGCAAAGGTCTCAGTATTATGAGCACATCATGTGTCGGATCTGTTCATTTTATGATTCCTTTAGCTTAGGGCTCTTTTGGGTATAAAATTTTTTTTAGGTCAAATGCTAACTTCTTGTGTCACTCGTACTCTCTATGCCAGTAATTTATACTGAAGGTTAACATTTAGATAAGCTATTATGTTTTTTATATTCGCTACATCTCTTAATGTTTCAAATCTACAAAACATATAGTTTGCTTTTCTGGAAAAGATGTAATATTAATTACAAAAATCCAAATTTCCATTCTTCTCCTGCTTGGTGTGTACTCAGAAATCTGTAAAAGTGGATTGAGCACTATTCTTTAATTCAAGTTGAATTTTAACATTTTCAAGATTCCCAATTTAAGTTGAATTCAAGAATAGTTAAATAAAGCATACATATCCTTACCCCGGTTACTGATGTACCTCTGAAGTCTGTCGCTGTATGGGCTCTCTCTCCGTTTGCTGGAATTTAAATAAAAAGCTCTAAAATATGAGGATAACTGAGAACATGAACACATACCGGTTTGTCCTTAAAGACTTACCTGCGAAAAACAACGACAACAACAATTGCTGCCACCACTAGGAGAAAGGCTGCGCCACCCATCACCGAGCCAACAAGCAGAGGAAGTCGATTCTGGATCTGCAGCGAATGTTCCTCTGTGGGAGTTAGCAGTAAAGTTAGGGTTTTAGGGTTTTACCATTCTCAAACAGCTTTTATTCAAGAGTTTTCTTATTCGCAACACACAGGTCCATGCTTTTGAATGCATAGTTAATTTACTTTGCACAGATAATGAATCAAAAATAATTCATGATTTGGGATGTTTCATAATTGCAAAAGCATATTTAAGGGAATTATTTGATCTTATTTTCAAAGTCTACATTTATTTACCATTAATGTTACGAATAAGAAAATACCCATTATATTTTATGATGGAGGAAAGATACATTTCTTAAAATTTTGTTACCCCTAGTATGAGAAAACCAAACATAAAACCAAAATAATAATCTTGAATAAAGTCATGAGAACTTAATTTTTTTAATCTCTCAATTTTTCCACCAAATATTAACAAATTTAGTAAAAAAAAAAAAAGCTAAATAAAAATAGCAATTAAACTTCCATTCTGGGTATAGCAAATCTCATTGGTATAACTAGTTATTAAAACATGCTTTTTACAGTTAGAAAAATGTGGTGTACCAAGTGGCAGCGTTGTGAAATAGATGGTGTTGCTGTATGGACCATAGCCTCGTTCATTTCGAGCTCGGATCTGGAAGGCATAGATAGATCCAGGAATCAGAGAACTGACGGTCACTGTGTTGGTCTCGCTGAATACCGTCATTGCACTGTCCATGTCTGAACCCTGAGGTATGCAGGGGAAGAGAGTTCAGTTCATTTTCATTAATTAAGTAAAGTAATGTGATGGATATAGGATGTGGTTTGTTTCCAACAATACCTTGTCATAATATCGGAGTTGGTACTCCAAGATGTCTCCGTTGGGTCGATCCGGCTGAGGCCAAGAGAGTGTGATGGAGTCTGGAGCTCGGCTCAGCTGGTGCAACATAGGAACTGTACTGGGAACTGTGGAGGGCAAAACATGGCTGGTCATTTATGTGCAAATGCTTTTATCTTTTATTTGTGATGAATAAGGATTCCAGCTAATGGAATTTAAAAGTTAAATTCAGTTAAGTGAGCTGTAATTACAGGTGCTGGTCATAAAATTAGAATATCATGAAAAAGTAGATTGATTTCAGTAATTCCATTTAAAAAGTGAAACTTGTATATTATATTCATACATTACATACAAACTCATATATTTCAGATGTTTATTTTGTTTAATTTTGATGATTACAAATGACAACAAATGAAAATCTCAAATTCATCATATCAGAAAATTAGAATATTGTGAAAAGGTTCAAAATTGATGGCCCCTGGTGCCACACTCTAATCAGCTAATTAACTCAAACCACCTGCAAAAGCCTTTAAATGGTCTTTCAGTCTAGTTCTATAGGCTACACAATCATGGGGAAGACTGCTGACTTGACAGTTGTCCAAAAGACGACCATCGACACCTTGCACAAGGAGGGCAAGACACAAAAGGTCATCGCTAAAGAGGCTGGCTGTTCACAGAGCTCAGTGTCCAAGCACATTAATAGAGAGGCGAAGGGAAGGAAAAGATGTGGTCGAAAAAAGTGTACAAGCAAGAGAGATAACCGCACCCTGGAGAGGATTGTGAAACAAAACCCCTTCAAAAATGTGGGGGAGATTCACAAAGAGTGGACTGCAGCTGGAGTGAGTGCTTCAAGAACCACCACACACAGACGTATGAAAGACATAGGTTTCTGCTGTCGCATTCCTTGTGTCAAGCCACTCTTGAACCACAGACAGCGTCAGAAGCGTCTTGCCTGGGCTAAAGAGAAACAGGACTGGACTGCTGGTGAGTGGTCCAAAGTCATGTTCTCTGATGAAAGTAAGTTTTGCATTTCCTTTGGAAATCAAGGTCCCAGAGTCTGGAGGAAAAGAAGAGAGGCACTTCATCCACGTTGCTTGAAGTCCAGTGTAAAGTTTCCACAGTCAGTGATGGTTTGGGGTGCCATGTCATCTGCTGGTGTTGGTCCATTGTGTTTTCTGAGGTCCAGGGTCAACGCAGCCACATACCAGGAAGTTTTAGAGCACTTCATGCTTCCTGCAGCTGACCAACTTTTTGGAGATGCAGATTTCATTTTCCAACAGGACTTGGCACCTGCACACAGTGCCAAAGCTACCAGTACCTGGTTGAAGGACCATGGTATCCCTGTTCTTAATTGGCCAGCAAACTCTCCTGACCTTAACCCCATAGAAAATCTATGGGGTATTGTGAAGAAGAAGATGCAATACACCAGACCCAACAATTCAGAAGAGCTAAAAGCCACTATTAGAGCAACCTGGGCTATCATAACACCTGAGCAGTGCCACAGACTGATCGACTCCATGCCACGCCGCATTGCTGCAGTAATACAGGCCAAAGGAGGCCCAACTAAATACTGAGTGCTGTACATGCTCATACTTTTCATGTTCATACTTTTCAGTTGGCCAACATTTCTATAAATCCTTTGTTTTTATTGGTCTTCAGTAATATTCTAATTTTCTGATATGATGAATTTGAGATTTTCATTTGTTGTCATTTGTAATCATCAAAATTAAACAAAATAAACATCTGAAATATATGAGTTTGTATGTAATGTATGAATATAATATACAAGTTTCACTTTTTAAATGGAATTACTGAAATCAATCTATTTTTTCATGATATTCTAATTTTATGACCAGCACCTGTAAACCTTTACTTAAAAAAATGTCTCTTGACTCAGATGATTTGATCATAGACCTATTTCTAATCTTACTTTCTTATCTAAAATTCTTGAGACAGTAGTTGCCAAACAAGTCCGTGACCACTTACACTATAATGAACTTTTGGAAAAGTTTGCAAAGTGTGGTTAAAAGCCTTCAGTTAATCCAAAATGCTGTAACCACAGTTCTGAGGAAAATTAAAAAGAGAGATCTTATTTTCTCTATCTTAGCTTGCCTTCACTGGCTTCCTGTTATATCCGTAATACAATTTAAAATATTCCTTCTCAAATATAAAGCCTTAAATGGCCAAGCTCCATCGTATTTCATGGATCTGATTGTTCCTTATGTTCAAAACGGAGCACTTCACTCTCAAGCTGACAGTTTACTAGTTGTTCCTAGAATTTTTAAAAGTAGAATGGGTGGCGGATCTTTTTTTTTTTTTACACCAGGCTCTTTTCCTTTGGAAGCAACTAGTTTTAGTCAGGGAGGCAGACACCCTGTCTACTTTAAAGACTAGATTTAAAACTTTCCTTATAGCTATAGTTGCTCAGGATATCCTGAGCTACCTCTACAGTTATGCTGCTATAGGCTTAGACTGCTGGAGGACATAGTGACCATTTCCATCTTTCTGCTTTATTCTATCTCTGTTCTTCCATTCTGCAGTAGTTCAATCTTTATCATTATGCTCTCTCTGATTTTTCTCCTCACTGTAGCTCCATCTGGTCTGTTCCTGTTGGCTGTGACACCATCCTGGATAGAAATATCAGCTGTGCTGCTGCCACCAACACCTTTGTTTATAGATGCTGGAGCTTGGCCTGTTTTCAGTGTAGTCTTGCTTCTCTGACTGTGAAACTGTATGTGCTCTCTTTCAGCCTATGACATGAGAGCTGGCTAAGAGCTCATCTTCCTAGCTGTGTTTTTCCAGAAAGGGGCAACTTTTGTGTCCTTTTTTTCTTTCTGTATGTCTGCTTCTGTCTCCTTGAACCCAGATGGCTGCTCACCTGAGCCTGGTTTCTTCCTGTTCCTCTGCACCATTGCTACATGCATGCTTAGTGTGAGGGGTTGCTTAAGTTTAAATAAAGCCTCTTTCCCACTGAAAATACAGGGCTAACGCATGTTTTTTTAAACATGGGTCAACCCGCTAACAATCTGCATTTGGCTTCATTCCCACTGGCAAAAAAAAGCTGGGCATAACCCCTCGCTCGCAAGCTGGGAGCACTCTGTCTGCCCACAGCAGTGTGTCCGGGGACACCATCATGTTGGGTTAACGTTAATGATGTCATCAGTGCAACTAACAGATATCATTTAAAATACAAGGTTCCAGAGTTTGGAGAAAGAATGGAGAGGCAGCAGATGCAAATTACAAGATGATCAGTATGGGGTTTCTAGTCAGTGATATCCTAAAAAGCAATGCCATCTGCTGATTTTAGTCAGTTGTCTTTATCCTGCGAGCCCTCTGCCCACCCACGGCAGCGTGTCTGGAGACACCATCATGTTGGGTTAACGTTAATGATATTAGTGCAACTGAAATCAGGATGCTGATGCTTGTTTAATGATCCAATTTGACTGTATTTGAAATGGGAAGCTTGGTGAGCTGAGAGTAACCTGATGGAGAGGGTATGTGGTACTGGCGATGCTAAGATGAGAGCCAACAGAACAGAACCTGGAACACCTAACACAACACCAACAACAGATGTTATATCTAATTTACACTCCACTGACGCAACAAATTGTTAAAGAGGAGGCCTGTACAGCTATAGAGTGATATAATGCTCTTTTTATCAGCATGATATACTTCTTTGTCTGAAATACAATTTCAGCTGTTTTGATGCAATGTTCCAATTTCGAGTGAGTTTAATATTGGGTTTTCATTGACAGGATGCCATGAAATTGAAATTGAAATGAGCTGATTTGAATTTGAGTGAAATGGAGTCTTTGTGTGTCTCTGTGTTGCCCTAGGACAGACTGGTGACCTGTACTCTGCCTCTCGGCCGTAGACAGCTGCAGCACCGGCCCAACCGGGACCCTGACAAGGACTAAGCGGGAGAAAATGGATGGATGGATGAACTGGAGCCTTTTTTTGAAGTGAGGTTTAATATAATAGAAATCAACTGGAACCATCTTACAATGAACTGATCTAATGTAATCATAACCGAATTACATCTATAAGCTATAACCGCTTAAGTTGTAATATAAAGACAAAGTACCCACATGGGGGCAGTGTTACTAAACCTGTGGAAAATGTCTATATGTGGAGTTTTATGGAGCACCAAACAGGATCTTGTTACTGTCACTGTGCTGGCAAGGCTGCCAAAGCTACAGAAAAAAATACAGTTATTTCATCTATAGTCTACTGAAGGCAGTACAGGAGGTTTTCAGATCATTTTGACAAATTAAAGTTCTGAATTATTCTAAGTGGTCTCTTGAAAAGCTATACAATCACACACTTGTTTTTTTTTGTCGTCCCCCAACTAATTCCCTTTCATCTCTCTTTCTCAGTCTCTTTGTCTTCCCATCTCTCAATCTTCCCGTTCTCCCTCCTCTTTGATAATAATGAGATCTGACAGGACACTGAAACCTTGAGCGACCCCTCGTCCAGGGAGCGGCAACAGAAAAGATGGGGCTGAAGCACCAAAAGAGATAAAGGAGGAGGAGGCGGAAATCCAACCAGACAGGATCCACACATGCAGAGCTTCTCATTTTCTTTCATCTCATCTTTTTCATCCTTTCTGTCCTGTTCTTACCTGACTGGCTGGTGGTGAAATTGATGCTCGTGTATCGAGCCGGAAAAGGACTCAAAGATGACACCTCATTCATGGCTTGCACCTGTCAATATGAAAAAACACACACACACACAGTGATGTGACATTCAGAGTCCACGCTGACATTTACCACATGTGTTAGAAACAAAGAAAGCCATGGAGCATTCACCATGCAAGGGAACACATCCTACTGAATGGGAAATATCTCCCCATAATTAATAAGAGATAGGCCATGAATCCAAGTGAGTTGTGTTGAGCTAAATAATAAATGTGTGTAGTTGATAATGTGGAGCTTTGTAATTAATTTAGCTCATACCCTCTGAGCTTTACTTATGTGAACATTGAAAAGGTCTTCAGGCTCACATAAAGGTCTTAAAGCCCAGTTTACAACATGGTTCATTGATCAGTTGGGAGAGAAAAAACAAGAAAAAGAAGAACTTAGTAATTAGAGCATGTTCGTCATGAACAGGAGTATAGGCTTATGGTGAATGAACAAGGATTTGGTAGGGGAAAAAAGATACGTTTAGCAGACGTCAAAAGAACATTTGTAAATTGGGAGTTATTTACAGTAAAATACAAAAAATATTTTTTTTGCTAGTGGTGATTAATCAGTAAAGAAAGCAAACTGAAATATAATTCCTACAGTCTATCTTATATTTAGGTGTGATGCAAATGAGCAACTTTCAATACTGTTTGTAATGCTAAACATTCTTTTCCAGTCACAGTTAGGTAGCTTATTTTATTTATTTATTTATTTAGGTGATATTGCACCAACACAGCACTCAAACTGTAAAACAACATACATTTCTGTACTATTATTCAATCTTCAATGTTTTTTAACCAACCAGATGCAGATCATACTCTGACCACTAGAGGCCAGCAAAGTGTTTTCATTGCTGTCCAAAGTGTGGATTGTGTTTGCATCCAGGGGCATCTAATCTCCTTAAGTAAAATAACAGGAGTTATGTTATATCAATAAAAATAATTAGTGGACTAACGTACTTTTTCACATTAAATTATTTACAAAGGACAAAGATGAGGACTGTGTTGTGTTAGCAGCATCAAGGAAAGTGACTGAAGAAGCTGAACAGGCTAATAAAGAGTGCCAGCTCTATTCTGGGAAATATCTATACCATTTGGAGAGGATTTTACACAACCCCCCACACCCCCCCCCCCCAAAAAAATCTTCATGAAATATAGAACTAAATGGAAAAGTCCCAGTATTCTCTTTAGAAGGTTGTTGAAGAACGACAATGTCTTCAGTCGAATGTCTATCTAGATCTGATGCATGATGAACTGCTACAACCATTATGATCTACAATGACTTGTTAAAATTAACTATGAGTTACCTCACTATTTAGTATCCATTTGGGATTTATAAAACATTTTTAACTGAATTGAATGGTATTAGAATTCCTTCCTTTTAGATGTTTCGCCAGAAATTATTATTTTCCAAATTAATAATGGAGGACTATAGCCTCAAAAGGTTCACATGCTTAAAAAGACACAGATATGTTGCACTCATGTCTTCAACGTTTTTGTTGTTGTTGTTGTTGTTGTTTTTTTCTAGGGCAAAATGCTTTTGTTTCAAAACAGTGGGTTTTAGCAGTGGCACAAGTAGCTTTTAAGCTTTTTTATTTATTCCTTATTTTTAACAAATGCAGCTTTACATAAGCAATAATATATATTGCTTATGACTCTGTTACGAATGGTCACAGTTGAGCAACATTTCCATATCCATAGTGGAGAAAAAAAGTCAGGCTTCTTGCTTAGACATAAAAACTAAACAAATGCATTGTTTCCTTTTTTTCCCCTTGGTACTTGTTCAAATGACAGTTTGTGCAAGGACAAAAAAAAAGTTGATATTTGAATCATGAAAGCAATGAAAGCAATTAAAACCTTTCACATCGTTTTATCTTAGATTTTCAATTACAGAACAATTGATGAAAAAAAATATTTTGCTCATAAGTGTATATTAAATAAAAAAAATACACTTTAGTCTGTAAGAAGTATATACTGGATATTCATTAATAAATAAAAAGCTAAAACTGTATGTTTCATGTACTTTATGGGATATTTATCATCAGTGACAAGACCAATACCTGTATGAGATAAGTGACCCTGGTCAGTAGGTTGTTGAGGGTTACTCTAGTCTGTTTCAGGTTGGTTTGTGACGGGCTGAAGGTGACCCCCTCTCCACACCAGGAGCATGCGGCTGGGTTGCTGAAGGTGGGAGAGGGGCAAATGCGACAAACCACGCCATACCACACTTCACTGCGACCTCCCATATCCAAAGGAGGACGCCACCTTAAGGAGACCCCACCATCGCCGCTTTCATACTCCCAGGTTGGAGAGACTGGAGCAGAAGGAGGAGCTGAGCAAAAAACAGAGAGAGTGGAGCACATGTATGATATAAGTAGAGGATAGTTAAAATGAAGCATCTGCTGAAAAGTTTATGATGTAAGAAAAGCTTCATCCTGTCGAAGCCATTAAGTCGTGTATAAAAGTAATGGAACCAAGGTCATAAAACAGCTTGACAGGGATGTATTTTAAGTTAAATGAGAGCAGAACTTTATTACCTCTCAAGTTTATCTCCTGTAGAAGCAATTCATAAAATAATATGGTTAAGGTCACACACCGTGTAAGTTGATGATTTTTAAAGTTTAAGCCTAGTAAGAGCCCTTGCACATCTCCAACAGAGCTAGGCATAAACAAACAAACACATAAAGCTCACTTGTGCAGGCGGAAGAGTTGGCATCTTTGGATGCTCGATAAAAGCCACTGCGACATTCGCACACACTCGACCCCTCCTGGCTGGTTCTGCTGTTGGGGGGACACACAGAACAGGGAACGGAGCCAGACACAGACTTGAAGTAGCCCACAGGACAAGCTGCGGAGAGACAAAAAAGGGAAAAAAGATGGTTGAGTATTTTCACCATATAAAAAGTATGATTATTGATCCCAGTGAGCCACAATGCTGCAGAAAAAGTGGAAATGGGTAAAGCAATAACAAGAAATTGGGTTTTTCTCTTAAGCTGTGAATATATGTGGTAGCCAACTTTTTACTCACAAAAAAAATAAGGATTTGTGACAAATCACTTGTTAGAAGAGGAGCTGAAATAATTTCTAGTCCTTAATTTATTCCGACCCTCTTACACATTGCTGTCATAAGCATAGACAATGGAAGCGTGCCAAAGCTGCAGACTTACTGCCTTTTATTTTGACTTAAATTTCCCATTGCAGCTTCTCACAAGCAGCAACTAAGAACATAATATATTAGAGATGGTAAAATAAATGACTTTACATTTACATTGTGTCGCTGCCACAAGAAATCAGGAGAACAACATATTAAAAAGGCTGAAGTGTTGAAAATAACTGGCAATCTGTAAAATGCAACATTACTATGCAGAGTGACTTCATGCATCCTTTAGTGATTACAGTACATTCTAAAAAAAATCCTGCATTTTATACTCCATGTTAAGAGGTTTTTAAAAGTCTATTTATGACAGGCTGAATAGATTACAGTTTTCATATAGCTCTGTTTATTCCTTTCTAACATCCCTCTGTCAGAACAATACCTTTGTCAATGCTGACTGAGTTATTGTTGAAACACTCAGAGTTTAGTCAAGTTCCGACATTTCCCAGGGAAAAAAATCATTTAATGATGACAGACGGGCTATCATTGCTAATTATGCTAATCACTAATAGATGCGTAATATGTTTTAAAATGTCAGCACTAGAGTGGTTTTGTCCTTGTTTTAAAATATGAAGATCCTATTTGATGAAGAGGAAATTAAGTCACCTCTCTTTTTGATGTTACCACTCACTGTGGAAGGTTGGAAAGAAAATGTAATGCTTTATTTACATTTTCTTATAATGCAGTTCTTTAAAAAAAAATCTATCCATCCATCTTCTCCTACTTATTCTGTCAGTTTCGCTGTGGGGCCGGTACCTATTAACGGTAGTCTACGGGCGAGAGGCAGGGTACACACTGGACAGCTCGTCAGTCCGTTACAGGGCACCATAGAGACATCTAACCATGCACAACCACACCTAAGGTCATGTTTCCAGTCTTTGTGAGAAAGCCGGAGTACCCGGAGAGAACCCACACATGCACGGGGAGCACATGCAAACTCCATGCAAAAAGACCCCGGGCCGGCAACCGAACCCAGAACCTTTCTGCTCACTATGGATGAAAACTGAAAGTGGATGAATGCTGATTGTGCACGAACGCTGATAGTGGATGATGAATGCTGAATGTGGAGGATGAACGCTGACAGCAGAGGGTGAATGCTGACTGTGGATGAACGTTGACTGTGCATAAATGGTTACTGCAGATAAATGCTGACTACAGACTGCAAATGAATGCTGACTGTGGATGAACGCTGACTGTGCATGAACGATAACTGCGGATTAATCCTGACTGTGGTTAAATGCTGAATGCAGACTGCAAATGAATGCTGACTGTGGATGAACACTGACTGTGCATGAACGTTGACTGCGGATGCTGACTTCCGACTGTGGTTGAATGCTGACTGTGGATGAATGCTGACTGGATGAATGCTGACTGTGGATGAATGCTGACTGTGCATGAATGGTTACTGCGAATAAATGCTGACTGCAGACTGCAAATGAATGCTGACTGTGGATGAACACTGACTGTGCATGAACGTTGACTGCGGATGAATGCTGACTTCCGACTGTGGTTGAATGCTGACTGTGGATGGATGCTGACTGGTTTAATGCTGACTGGATGAATGCTGACTGTGGATGAATGCTGACTGTGGATGAATGCTGACTGGTTGAATGCTGACTGGATGAATGCTGACTGTGGATGAACGGTGACTGTGAATGAATGCTGACTGTCATTAAATGCTGACTGTGCATGAATGCTGATAGTGGATGATGAATGCTGAATGTGGTGGATGAATGCTGACAGCGGAGGGTGAATGCTGACTGTGCATGAACGTTGACTGCGGATGAATGCTGACTTCCGACTGTGGTTGAATGCTGACTGTGGATGAATGCTGACTGGTTGAATGCTGACTGGGTGAATGCTGACTGTGGATGAATGCTGACTGTGGATGAATGCTGACTGGTTGAATGCTGACTGGATGAATGCTGACTGTGGATGAACGGTGACTGTGGAAGATTAACGCTGACTATGGATGAATGCTTACTGTGGTTAAATGCTGACTGTGCATGAATGCTGACTGTGGATGGTGAATGCTGACTGTGGAAGATTAACGCTGACTGTGGATGAATGCTGACTATGGGTGAATATTGACTATTGATGAACACTGATTTCAGGTCTTGAGTGTTTTGCACAGACCCATTCATTTCCTATATATATATATATATATATATATATATATATATATATATATATATATATATATATATATATATATATTAGGGCTGTCAAGCGATTAAAATTTTTAATCTAATTAATCACAAGGTTTCCTGAATTAATTTCGATTAATCACTAGCCTAATTATTATTGAAAAATACACATTTTCTGTGTGCTGTTTTCAAAACAGAAAGATAAACAAGATGGGTATTACATTTAGTATTTATTAATGACAAATCCAAACAAAGAATTTAATTCTCAACAATTTTGGCAACTTAGCCATTGCTTTTTTTTTTTTTAGAAAATACAGGATGGGTGAATGGAACTTTTTTCATTTAAAACAAACAACTTGACTTTTAAACAATTACATGAGGTCATTTATCTATTATTTATTCATCTTTTAGCCAGTTGTTAAGGCAAACTAACTGGTTAACATTTTCTGAATGCAAAGCGGACCGTTTTTTCTGAACAATATGACCAGCGACAGAAAAGAGTCGTTCGCAGGGAACAGTGGATGCAGGAGTTGCTAGATATTTGCGGGCAAGCCGTGCCAGCTTGTCATGTGCTCCTGAATGAGCAGCCCACCACTGCATAGGGCAGTCCTCCATACTTATGCTTGGCTCTGCCCTATACCTGTGTATGTCTTTGTCAGGTTGCACCTCTTCATCTGACTCTGAATCTGAGCCCATCTGTAGAAGATGAATTTTCTTCGTGGGTGGTCCATCTTGAGAAGTCAGCAGAGACCTTCTGGGTGAATGTTCATTAAGCATGCCTCCAAGTGAGGTCCACACCTCTTCCCTTTCACACTTAGGCAGACTCTTCAAGTCTTTAAAACGTGGATCCAGAGCCGTTGCAAGCTTGAGCCATGCATTGTTAGTATTTTCTTGGCGGGAGGCAAGGTCTTGCATGAAGATTGTCTTAAAGCTCACCACATATGCAGGGTCTTCTTCAGAGACCTTCATCACCTGACGCAGGTGGCGGAGAGCAGGCAGTACTACTGAGCAGGAGATATAGGCCTCCCCACCCAGAATCTCAGTTACATACCTGCAGTAAAATAACACACACAAACACACTCATAACATATTTGAACACCAGTTGGTATGCTGGTAAATCAGTTAAACATTTAATAGGATCAGTTTGATCAGTTCAATTTAATTTTCAATTTGCACATTATATGTGAATTCCTTACCTGCAGGGCTCTAGAAGCTTGCTCAGTTTCTGCAGTTTGTCCCATTCTGGTGGCGTCAGCATAACCAGTTTGTGGCGTTGTTGGTCCAGGGTTGCTTTAATTGCTGCTTGATTGCGGTTCAGGCGCTTGATCATTTCCAGCGTGGAATTCCACCGCGTTGGCACGTCTTGGATCAGTGGCTCCTGCTGCTGTCCCAGGGCTGCTTGCTGTGCTTTAAGCTCCATGCTGTTGGCTGCGCTGTGTCTAAAGTGACCCACAATTTTGCGACACTTGGCCAGTACATTTGTAAATCCACTATCGGAGAGGCTCACGGTGATACTTCTCTGTAGCATGTGAGCGATGCAGGGCATATGCTCATATGGCAGCAGTTTAGCCGCAGCTGTCATATTGCGTGCACTGTCCGTCCCTATAGTTGTGATTTTTTCTTCAATTTTCCACTTGTGTGCCACGGTTTGAAACTGTTGAGCGCATGCCTCTGCGAAGTGACGCTCTTCTGATTTAATAACAGTTAAAGCGAACGACTTCAGTTCCCAGGTTTTAGTGATGTGATGCGCCGTCACACCCAGATAATTATTGTTACTCACGGAGGTCCAGTGGTCTCCTGTCAAAGCAACATGTTCCGCTGAAGCCAAATCGTCCTCCTTCGTTTTCTTTTTAGTCTCATAAAGTTGGTTGATTTTAGTCATCACTGTGCCTCTCGATGGTGGCTTGTAGAAAGCATCTAAAGTTGCGACTCTCAAAACTTCTGCGAGGCCCGTGTCCTCGACAATATTAATTGGTCTACAGTCCTTGGCTATCCATCTGGCAATTTTGTCTGTCAGCTTCTCAGACGTAGACTTACTTAATGCCCTGCGTTCGGTGAGGGTGGTCTGACGCGTGCCAGTCTGAACACCTGAAGTTGAAGCCCCAACAAAGGAATGCTTGGCATTAAGATGATATTTAAGGCTCGAGGTGCTTCGGTGAAACGAAAAGTCTTTCTTGCAATGTGAGCAAACCACAACATGTTTATTTATGGTCCCGTCTTTGTTTTTTTTATACTTGAACTGTCCATCCAACGGGCCAACGGGTTCTTCTGATTCCTCCATCTCGCTCATGTCTTACAATTGAATTGTGGGTAAAACAGGGCGGGACTGCGTTAATGCGTTAAAAAAAATATCGCGTTAATTCCAGAAATTAATCATCTCGCGTTAACGCGTTAATTTTGACAGCCCTAATATATATATATATATTTGTAGTGGCTCTTCAGGAAGGACGTATCCTAAGCAGATTACTGCCACCCTGTTATAAAATAACAACAAAATCCCCTGAATGAGACTGAACAGAGGACACTAAAGCTCCAGCAAAGGTTTAT